TTTTTTTTTCATCTGACATGAAACATACTAGTATATTAAAAAAAAATATATTAATTTGTTTTTTATGACTTATTTTTTTTAATGAAAAAATGAAGTCTAATGAAATATAAAATATATAAATATATATATATATATATATATATATATATCTATATATATATATATATATATATGCATTTCGAAAATTATGTATATTAATATATATTTTTTTTCTTTTTACCTATCTATTTATATTAAATATAATATTTAATAAAAAATACCTATATATAGACGTAAAAATTAAGAAACTATATATACAGTTGTTAATATATAGTTATTTTATTTATATATTTAATATATATATATATATATATATATATATATTTAGTTTATACTAAACTTATTTATAAAATTTATCAGTAGACCTGAGGAGGATGATATCATTTTAAGAGAGCTCAATGTAAAATTCAGAGCAGATATGTTTGAATAAAAGACAGACCACGTTAAGATTCCATTTTAATATTTATTTCACCATAACCCCAGATACCGAAAGATTATAGATAGATAGATAAAAAAGATAGAAAAAATACAAGACTGAGATATTATTTTACATACATTTGAACAGACTAAGATAAAAAGAAATGAAGTAATTTATTTAATATCTAGTTATTTAATTTATATATTTTTTAAATATATAATATATATATATATATATATATATATATATATATATATATATATATATAAATATTTTCAATGAAAAATATAAATTTATTATAAAAATTCTGAATCAGATCAAAATAGATATATATTTATATATATATATATATATATATATATATATATATATATATATATATATATATGTTTTATTTAAGAGAGAGAGAAGAAACCTCTTTTAAAGAAGAATAAAATATCAATCAATGTTTCCTACAGATGTAAATTAAAATGTCATAATTTCATTTCTTTATGTCAGTTTTTTTTCGTTTCTTAATAACTTCTTTTATTTCTTCTTTCAATCCTCTTTTTACAATAAGAGCTTTTTGTTTTCCATTTAAAAAAAATTAAAAATTTTGCTTTAAATCTGTTTTCTAATTAAAGTACAACAAAATATGGAATTTTTTTAAAATGACCCTTTATATGAAGGAAGTAAATACACGATTTGGCGTCCCGGGTCTTTTTAAAAAATTTTTTCGATACGCATTCTGTATTCATCATATTAAATCCGTTTTTAATTGATGAAAAAAAAAAAAAAAAAAATGGACAGATATTAGTTTTGATCGATTGATGCAGATCAAATCAACACCGGTTGGACTCTGAAAGAATAAAAAAAAAAAGAACCATTTATAATTATGAAATATATATAAAAAGAAAAAAAGGGAAAGAAAAATGGAAAAGCGATGGACAAGACATTTAGACATTTTGAATGTTTCCTAAAATGTCTTGTAAATAAAATAAAAGTTTTTATCAAAAAAAAAGGAGAACTTATTCAAAAGGAATTAATATATATAAATATATATTGATAATTTATATAATGACACACACACATTATATTTAAATTTTATATATATATATATATATATATATATATATATATATATATATTATATTTGTGGTAGGATCCACCTAATTTGCATAGTGGAGTACCGAATATAAATATGGTTGGTACTGGAAAGAAGGAGGAATTGAAAGAGATTCAACCAGAGACTCTGCCCGACTGCGACTCAGTCAACACATTCTCCAGGAACGGTCTTACCAGGAATATACAAAAGACTATATGTAAATATTGTGTACACTTTCTTGTTTCAATACATTTTGTTCTAAGTATTTTTTGTGTTGCATTATTATTCCATGCATTAGTCAAGTTTCAACAATATATATATATATATATATATATATATATATATATAAATATATAAAATAATTTTTTTAAATTTATATAAATAAACATGTTATAAAATGATTATAATTTATTTTATTTTGTTTGGACAGAAAATTTCTTAAAAATGATTTGAAAAAAACAAATTCTTTTCATTTTTTTTTTAAAAAATTTTTTAAAAGTGGTTTATTTTTTTTCTTGATAAAATTAAATTTTGGGATTTTTTTTAAAAAATGATTTAATGAGGAAAAATTTTTAAATAAATAAATTTTTTATTAAAAATCTGCCCTATTCAATAAACTCTTTTAAAATAGTATTTGTCATTTTTATGAAATTCATTTTGGATTTATATACTGATAAATATATTATTATATATATATATATATATATATATATATATATATATATATATATATAAATTATCAAGAGGACAGAATCCATGTATCAATTCAATGTCCAGGACAGAAAAAGAATAAAAAAAAAAAATTAATTTTTATTTATACCAATTTAATTTTTTTAAAACTTTCTAATTAAAAAAAATTAAAATTTGTTTTAATTTTATAAATTCCTTTTCTTTCATCTTCTGTTATTTTTTTCTCTCTTTTTGGAATTTTCTTTTTCTTTTCACATTGTCAAAAAATTTCAACACATTATTTTTTAAATAAATATTTTTTTTATATTTTAAAATTTTTGAAGATTTAGGTATGATGAATTGGATCATGAATTGGATTTCAATTTAAAAAAATTATAACCATGGAATATTTGTTTGAGTTTTTTTATTATATATATATATATATAAATATGAAACCCGTATATATAAATAGCCGAAAAAATAGCACTTGGAATCCATCTGATTGAAAAAAATGAAACGGACTGTCGCCTAAAAGAATGTTCGAAAATATATATTGCCATCACGTTCTATCTCTGATATTGAGCACTTTTTCAAAAATAAAATATTCAAATCTTTCACTATTTTTTCTTTTTATATATATATATATATATATATATTGTGACGGTTACACACCTGGCCCAGGGTCGGATCCTTTGGTTACGGCGCCAACGGTGACGTCGCTCCTCCTGGTCGCTCCTCCTGGGTCCAAGCGTGCCGCTCCAACCCTTTGGTCAGATGATCACCAGCCTCGCCTTTCCCAACCCGCTTCCAATACCTGGTCACTAAAGCAACTATACTGATCTCCGGTCTGTCTACCCACGCTGTGTTTAGATCTTAGACAGACGGGACCAGCAGGGATTGGGGCCGATACAAAGTTGAGTCCGACGGGGTGGCAAAACACAAATAAAAAAAAAAAAACTCACGAGACAAAAAAATTGCTGATGAAAAAAAAAAGGGTAACAACCTTTTATATCTTAATGTCCGTTACATAAAAACAAAATTGTTCTCATTTCCCGACCCGCTCTGTGGACTATGGCACCAAGCTTCTATCACACAAAGAAAAAGATTTCGAATTGCCTACTCTTTAGAATCATGTATGTCGGAGTGTGGTTTGGTTCGACACTGGGGCTAATTTCTATCGATCATTCGCAGTTGATTCTTCTCTCCGACTTGATTCTTCTTCTTCGTCGA